TGGAATAGGTCCTTCATTGAGATTGAGAGAGGTAGAGAAGATGTTTATGGCCTTATCTCTACAGGCAGTTACAGAAGTTTTGCAAAACATAACTAACAGATCACATTTTGTATTTGGTGACTATATAGCAACTAAAGGACAATTAAACACCAAACATGTGGAAGAGGGAGTTCAGACTACGGAAATCAGGTGATCTGGAAGAGCCAAAGATGGGCTCTCGGAAGCAGTAAGTTTTCAGGTACAGGGAAGAGCAGAGTGTTGGAAAGCTGAGGGGTGTATGTTCTCTGAGAGGACCAAAGCAGAACTGCAGGTGGGAGCAAACACAGGGTCTGTGGAGGGCTGGTGCACGTGTCATGTTGGAAAGAGGGAAACAAGGTTGAATTGGTTACCCTCTAGCCAGGTTTGGGGGACTTCAAAGATTATGCAGAGTTTATGCCTGAGGAGGAAGACGACAGAAAATTCACCACGGGATTTTGAATAGAAGAACATGGACACAGTGTTCAAGCTCTTTGATGGTTGTAAAACAGGCCCCTTGAAGGTCTGTTAAAGGCATAGGGATTATCTGTGAGAATCAAAACCAGAGATGAGACACGGAAATGATTCACAAACTAGAAACATGGGTATGGAAATCAGAAGAGAATTCAGGGGTAAACATGCAAAACTAGAAACTAACATTTCCATTTTCACTTATTTGTTATTTTGGTGTACTTTCATGCCCCATTCATCCTACAAGGCATTTGATGTACAGTTTACCTACAAGAACAAGTATGACATTATACAAACTAATAAGGAAATTAGAGCAATGAAAATTTGGGAAGTAGAATAGCGATTAAGCCTGGAGAGGGGTGAAGTTATCCAAGGGGTAAGTGCAAAGCAAGGCGAGTAGAGTGGGCACTTTTAGTTTGCAGGTTAATTCAGTAATTCACACATTTATGTGATTCCATCTATGGAGCATGGACATAGTGGGGATATACATAAGCCACAGTCTTAGGGGAGAGACAGAGACAAAGCAAACCTTTGGGGGTGGTTAGTCATATATTCAAGGTTTGGAGATGTAAAGGTGAGAAAAATCAACTAGGACTTAGGAAGAGGATATGAGATGAAGGAGACAGCCCATAGTACAGACACATCAAAGTGCTGGGAACCTTATGTGAAAGCCAGGAAATCAGAATAGTAGGGTAGTAGTTATTCCAGGAGAAGTAATAGCCACAGGGTAGGGTTACATAGAAAATATAGGCCATAGAAGGATGAGATGTAAGTCCCCAAGGGTGCCTATATCAGAGGAGCAAGAAGCTCCTAGATCAATCATTCGTCAGGTCTAGGGACGAGACTGGAAGTATTGACTCACTTGCAAGGAAACTAAGCAGGTCACCCGTGACAATGAAAGCAGACTGACCTCACCTACCACCATTCTTTCCAACATTCTCTTATCTATCTTATTTAGGATAGTTTTTTGTTTGTTTGTTTTTTTGTTTTATTTTGTTTTGCTATGACACACATACTTCCTATCAAACGGCCAGTTTTCAGCACAGAATGCATTAATTCACAAAGCACTCTCAGAATTATTTAAATCTCCCACTAGCATGACCTCCTATGAGGAATCAGATACCAGATTGATTCCTGAACACCGTTAGTCAAGAATATAATATTCTAATCAGAGAATAAACTTATTTTATACTATTTAGGAGGGATAACACAGGAATTCTGGTTTTGTCACTGTATTAATTTTAATTCTTAGTAATATTCAAGTAATATTCAAGCAATTTATCGTATTCAAAATGCCTTGACATGAAAGTCATCCTTCTTCATAAAATGAGCCATTTCCAGTTCTTTTCTATACACTTCAAAGTACCAGGACTCAGACTTTGACAGAACATTGCAGTCAGAACATCTCAGAAAAATTCTAGTTTTAAGAACACTCCAGAGAAGAAATTTTACAGTCTGTCAGGATTATTTCTACATTTTGCAGTATTATCAGAAAATTTTTCCTTATATTGAACCTAATTCACAGAGTTGCAATTTTAAGTCATTTATTCTTTTTATGAATTCAGTGGAAATAAAGAACCTTTCATATATCCATAAACTATTATTTATTGAGCACTTACTTTGAGACACGCACTGTGATAAAAGCTTTACACGTTAACTCGCTTCATTTTCATACCCTGATTAAAAAGTAAGTATTCTAATCGTCGCTATGACAGAGAAGAAGAAACTGAAACAGAGGTAAAGCCTTGTTTAGGATCTCACAACTAGTAAGTGACAGAGCTGGGATTCAGTTGAGGTCCTTCCTGTTCTTAATTACAGGGACCTTAACTACCTCCCCAGACTCCTCTCTCAGCATTGTCTTTACCACTCCTAAATAATGCCAGTCCTTTACTCAATTTTCCGAACTGTATGATCATCTCAACTCTATTCTAAATGCTCTCAAAGTTCTCCAAACCTATGTTTCCAGGAAACCCAAATTAAACTTCCTAATAAGGAACCCTCTCAATATTTTCCAAAGCTACCTCACCAGGAAACACAGATTAAACTTTCTAATAAGGATTATTTTGTGATTATCTTAATTTCTAGATTTCCTACTTTAGAATCTTAATTCCCTTAATTTCTTGGTAATAGTGCTCTGTTACCGAATCATGGCTAATAAGCCACCACAATGTCTAGACCATTTCCAAAAATACAGGCTCATACTGGAATTCTGGCTTGTGGATATAGCTAATATAACTGCTGTTTTACATTTACTAGGTTATTTTTAAAAATAGAATTGAATATTATATTAGTATTTATAACTGTGCTATAATCACCATCTTAGAATAAGAACCAGATTAGTTTTTTTTTCTCCCTAAACTAGCTGGATTTAATAGAGTATAATTATTTGAATTTTATAAAGAAATACATACAACAGAATGAATATGACATTATAAAACAAGAAGAAAAAAAAGAGGGTTGACATTCTGTTAACTAAATACCTTTCATTTTAAATGACTAAATTAAAACAAAATTAATTACCTTTTTAAACTATGCTTCATTTTACACTTAATTGACTTTTTCATTAGGCCACCTGGAATATTTGGCTTCTGATCGAAAGTTATTGCACCTTAGTTCATAACTGGATATATTTTCCATCACATGCACTCTGCATCAATATCTCTATTTTTTACTGATGCTCACACACACACTTGACTGTCAAAAATACAATAAAATATAGGTGGCAATTATGATACCCCTGAATATAGTAATAAATCTCTCTTATGAGGAATTTTGGCTTACTTTCAAATAATCTGTCATTGATGTGGCAATTGAAACATCAGATGTAACTTTATATAGTCAACTTTCCACAAGAGTTTTTATCAATTCAAAGTTCAGCCAATGGCCTTTACTTCAAAGAGAAGCATACACTTCAGTAAAGGAAGGAGACAGACGTTTACAAGAGTGATCTTGTGATCTTCCTCATTCATCGCCAGTCGCAAAGGCCTCTCTAACCTCCCCCACCACACCAGTCCAATTTCAGGTCAAGAGAGAAAAAACCAGTGTCCAGAGATTTGCAAATTATTCCAAGGGACAAAAAACACGGAAGAAAAAATTTCCAGAACAATGTCACTGTAAACATACTGAATATCCTTCAGAACTGTTAAATTCCTTCTATAAAACAATGAAAAACCTTGTTACTCTGCTCACAGAAATTTCAGTCAGTGCTTGAATTAGTAGTTATACTGATTCTTCTGCTTTTCTCTTTCAACTTTTATGTGCCCAAATAAAAACATTCAAATTCTGTGTATATATACATATATTTTATATTCAAAACTCAATATATATATCACATATATATCATAGGTTGGATTTTGTATGTTTTCCCTTCGTCCCTATGCAAAAATGGAAATGGTTAGCATCTGAAGTTCTACTTTAGAAAATACATTTACTACTTTTAAAGGACAGTTATAATAAGAATGTTAAGATGTTAGAGAACCCCACTTAAGCAGCCTTCTGGTAAGCCAGGCTTCTTATTCAAATTTGGTCAGGGCATTAGGAAAATATAAGCTGCTTAGTTTGTAGCTTTCAGTCTCTGAGGTGGTTTATTCAATTCACAGAATCATAGAATTTTAATGTTGGAAGGGACCATGGAAATTATCTAGTCCAACCTCTTTATTTTACGCATAAGAAAATTGAGATTATCCTTTCTATATGCACCCAGCCAAAATTAAAAGAGTAACTCAATTCAGAACTCCCCCTTATATATTTAGACTTTAAGCTGCCTGTTAATACAAAGGAGACTCCATTTCAAAAGTCACAGAAACTTCTGTTCCATGTGTCTTACAATAAAACTGTACTGTGCCCCTTGGATGCCATTATTGAACTCATACTTGTCTTTAAGAACCTCTAACTCATGCCAAGTGAGAGATAATTGTGCCAAAATCAATCAGGCTGTAAGCATCTTAAAAGCAAGGCCTTTGTCCTCCCTGGCTTCATATCCCTAACAACTAGCAGAGCACCCAGCATATGGTAGGTGGTTTCTTTAATGAATGAACAATTGCCCTGAATATTAGTGCAGCAAAGTTAACAGGAAAAGAAGTAAAACCTGACAGTCCCTCCTGGGCTAGTTTCAGCTATTTAGTTGAGCTTCGGGGTGTTTATCAGCACTTGGATTCACAGTGGTTTGTCATCACAGGACTTTACCTGAAGTTCTCACAAGAATAGGTACCACCCATACAGCTTTCTATTCTTAAGGCTCTAAAAGTGTATTGGAAACAGTCCAACAGCAGCATGCCTGAAAGAAAACCTGCCATTAACTGAAGACATTTCTAACCTGCATAACCATTTGCACACTCCTCCTTCTCTTTCCACTTTAATTTAAGCTTATTTTACCACAATCATATGGTCATTTAAACTAAATGCTGCTGCTTGGAATCCAAACAAGTATGAAAACTTGCTCTAGTCCTACGTGCTCCCAGTCTGTCTTCAATTTCCTGAGTTCAAAGGAAGCATTAGAAATTTAAACATCGTACCATCCAGGTGGTCCACGTAGCAGTACACGTCGTAAGTTTCATGAGGCGAACGGAATCCGTAAGTCCTGACTCCTTCCTTCCCCATCATATCTCCGTAACAGCCTACTCGGGGAGCCCGGATGGGATACCTGGGGAAATAAAAGACTAGTCAATAGCACTTGATTCTTCCTCTCAGATGAATGAATTACAGCCTGAGGCCCCCAGACCTCTCACCGGACAGTCTGATCAGCCAGCCAGCCTGCGTCACACTGCTCAAATCCATCTTCATAGGCGGCATAGAGCTGCTCTGGGGTTGCTATGACTGCTCCAACATCCAAACAGGCCTTCTGTGCCGCCTCAAAATTCAGAGTATACCTGCTGGTCGCCGCTCTGTAGTGAAACACAACCCCTGCCAAGAGAGCAGCAAGCAATTACAGGCAGGTTAAAACATGCCACCATACTTTGCGAAGTTTTTTACCGGCGCAATACATCAAAGTCATTGCTCCCATGGTATGACACTATGGTGATCCTTTATTTTCACTTGGTGTAGCACCACACAGAATTATGGTGATGTGAGGAGCCCTAGAAATGCCATTCACCCAGGTGTCCTATTCTGCTCCATTAGGAAGTTTCCTGGCCAGGCATGTTCTATTCTCATGAAGACAATCTAAGAAAAAGATTTAAGCCACTAAATCCCAAGTGGTGGAGGGTTGTTCTAATTACAGGTAGTCTTCACATTATCATGGGGAGACTGGACAACTAAAGGGAGTTGGTGCTGCAGGAGATACAAAGAGTTAAGGGGGTCACAGGATCAACTTGCCCTACTCATGATTTTACCCAGGGCCGACTCAACAGAAGCCCGTGGAACATTCACTAACACCACTTCCTCCAAACATAAAACATTTGAGATATTTACTTCCAGAAATAATGTACTAAGATGGCAAAGACAATGGACTGTGTATGAGTGAGAGCTTGTTCCAGTCCCTAATTTGTTCCTTAACCATATATTGTTAATCTCCCCCACCATAAAGTATAACGGATATTGCTTACGTTATCTGATATAAAAGTCAAATTATGTAAAGGCTTTAAAAATGTTGGATAGGCTACTAAACACTACCCAATGTTTATCATATTCACCATGTGACTAGCATAACTGAGGGTTTCCACTAAGACAGATAAAATGTATGATTTTTATCCCAAAGAAGGCCTGAAGTAAAGTTCCTAAGACTCCCCTGAGTTGAAGCTAGGCATCTCAGTACTTGCTTCAAATTCCACTCTGCTGTATGCTAGGAGTTGCATAATCTAGTGGTTCTTGAATGGTGCTCCAGGGCTCAAGGAATTGTCAAAGGGCTGAGGGAAGAGCAGATGGGGGGTGGGGTGGGGTGGAGCTCCCCCCAACTTCAACAGGAGCATCTTTATTTTTAACTGGAGTAAATATGGTGACTCATTTCTACAAGACTGCAAAGTGAGTCACGGTAAGTACCTGGGAAGTCATTGGAAAATAGAAATTGGGGCAACTGGGTCTTATGGATGAGAATTTATTAAGAGTTGCACTGCCGGGGCGCCTGGTTTGCTCAGTCGGTTGAGTGTCTGACTCTTGATTTCAGCTCAGGTCATGATCTTAGGGTTGTGAGATTGAGTCTGGTGCCAGGTTCCACGCTCAGTGCAAGTCTGCCTGGGATGCTCTCCTTCTCCCTCGGTCCCTCACCCCACTCACGCTCTCACTCTCTCTCAAATAAATAAATAAATAAATCTTTTTTTTTTTTTTTAAAGAAAAGGTCATATTGCCTAAGACCACTTTTTTTTGTTATGCAGAATGAACTTTGGTTTCCAAGATACCTTCCACTGTCTTTTTATTCCTAGTAATTCCCTGGGGTTGACAACAGTCTATATCCCAAAGCCTGACTTAAGAGACTGTCTTCCACATGCCCATCCTTAGATTGTCTCCTTCTCCCGAGACAGGTATGTGCCAATAAAATAACTACAGGGTGACAAACTAGCCATGTCATAGATAAGCACCTCTGATAAGTGTCAACTCAAAAAGACCTGCACAGTCACCGAGTAGATGTACTGACAATTAACATTCATTTTCCCATTTCTGATACTGCAACGAAAAATTCATCACATGCCTTTCAGAAAATCTGTACCTCTATAGAACTACAATAAAATTGCCAGGAAGTATATATTGTGCTATCTGGTAAGTATGAGATCGTTTATAATGATCTCTAAGGCTTAAGCAAGAATTGAAACGGTTTTAAATTAGTCTTATGTTGATCAAAGCTTCAAACAGTCCTCTTGGTAATTAAAAATCTTCCATGTGCACTGAAGACTGGCAGTAAGGGGGCACAAAGGGGCCTCTAAGAGCAAGGCAGGGCGTATCAGTCGGTATAAGTATCTGCAATTGTTGGGATAATTTGAAGACCTCATGGGGCTAAGGAGATTAAGTGGAGGATTTTCATTGTTTAAGAGGGGCAAGGGGCAAATCCATTGCTAATTCTTTAATGATGAAAATAGTAAGAAATTGTTAAACTCCTTTTGGGATTTTAAAAACATATATATAAATTATACATAGTGTGTATCTACCACTACTATACATATTTATAATTTATTAATAATCTGTATGTTTATACAAGATATAAATATAATACACACAAACATACAAACACACACACAAAGAGAAATAGAAAAATATCACTAGAGCAAAACAGTCCTAGGCTAACTAAAATAAATAATAAAAAGGTTAAAAGAATGAAGAGCCCAGAATATTTAGTGGATGCCTGGACAATATAAAAATAGATTGGAAGGAGAGAGAAACAGAATCTGAACATAAAAGGATGTACAGAAAATTAATTCATTGTATCTGAAATTCAAAGTATTTCCTTTTGGCTACACAAGAAAGTTTTAATAAAACCCTTTGTATATATTTCTGAAAGGTAAATATTTTACAGGGAAATGGAGGGATGGAAGAAAAATCTGTTCCATCATGTTTGGGTATTAGAATTTTGCTTAATAACTTGCCAAAATATTCTGTTTCCAAGAGCTATGGTATTATGTGTGTACCCAATTAAAGCAATTTTTCTTTGCTTTGTCTCCTAACTTAAATTCAAATGACATATAAACCACCACAGAAAAGGGGCTAAAATGAAAATGCCTCATTGCAAGACTTAATGTATAACAGCTAGCGTATTACCTTTAAAAAAAAATTCACTGAGTTTTATTTTGATCCAATTCAAATGTTTATTAAGTCTGGTCTTTCTAAGGCACTGTGAAAGGTACCATGATACTTATTAAGTGCTTCATTTCTTCAATGTATGATGGAATTTATATTTCTTAAGAACAAACTCAAAGGTTTTAATAATCATGCTAGGACAGCGAGAAAAAAGGAGAAAAGGTAGCATGTGAGTATGTGTGTGTGTGTATATGTGCATACACACATATTGTAAAAATTAAACTGTAGATCAGTCTTTATGGTCTTAAAAAATATCATTGAGGGGCGTCTGGGTGGCTCAGTCGTTAAGCGTCTGCCTTCGGCTCGGATCATGATCCCGGGGTCCTGGGATCGAGTCCCACATCGGGCTCCCTGCTCCGCGGGAAGCCTGCTTCTCCCTCTCCCACTCCCCC